AGGCTTCCAAGAGGCCCAAGACAAAGGCAAAGGGGAGCAGTGGAGACAGGGAGGTGTGAGAGACAAGGAAATGGATGCCTGCCGGCACAGAGAGAGGCTTGTGCAGAGGCAGTGGTGTTTGCTGCCGGGGACATCAGCCCAGACCCTTAGGTGGGCTACAGGCTTGGGGGTCTTGGGCAATGGGCTTCCCTGGTTCAGTGAGAGCAGAGACAAGATTCCCGTGCTGTGAGAGGGAGGGGAGGAGGCGCTGGCACCAGGAAGTGTGGCTGCGGAGTGACCCAGTCACCACACTTGAGGTCACCACACTTGACCCGCTGCCGTTGGCTGCTCGGAGGCTCCGCCCGCACACGTGCAGGCATCCAGCTCTGCCTCCTTGAGGCTCCTCCCCCTTCCCAGCTGCCCCAGACCTGGGCCTTCAGCCTGCGGTGGCGGGGGATGGAGGCCACAGGACCTTGTTTCAGCTAAGGGCCAGCACGCCACGCGGACACCATGTTCCTGTGCGTCACCGCCCGTTTATCCTCCGCTCCTCTGAGTCTGTCCCCAGCACTGCCGTGCCAGGCAAGACAGGGGAAGGCTGACAGTTGGGGGTCAGACCAGTGGTGGGGCCCCCCTCACTTCCCTTCTCCTACCCATCCTTCAAGGCCAAGGTCTGGACAACTCTTGCTTGTCATGCCACATTTATTTCTTTACTGTTCAACTAATCCACCAAGTGCGATTTTATTTTGGTAGACAGCCCTAGAGCTTGTAAATTATTTTAAAATATCTTTTTGTTTGGTTCATTTTTTTTTTCATCCATCAGGTAACAAAGGTCATGTTTGAATCATGACATTGTCGAGGAAGTTTCTAGAACCCTGGTCTTCCTGCAGCTGCTGGTTGGGGACATGGAGCCTACAGAGGACCCCTCAGTCCACCTGCAGGAGGAGACCCGGATTGCCCTGGGGGCCTGTCCTGGTGCACACAGCCCCACAGCTGGCCCAGCAGGGTGGGGAGACAGTGGCGCAGACACAGAGCAGAGCCTTGTTGGGTGGAGAACGCACCTCCGGCTTCCTGTTCTCATCCTGAGACTTTACGTCTCCACTGCTCTCAGGCTAAGCGGTGATCCTGGGGACAGAACCCGCAAGGACAGAAGGGACAGTTCGGGGCCGGCGTGAGGGTCACTCCTCCTTGAGTGCAGGTGGTGACTACTGATTTGCTCAGAGATGGACAGTGTGGGCAGCCTGCTCGGTGTCGGTCACGTCCGCTGAACAGAACGCGGGGACGGAGAACAGGAGAGGCGGGGTAGCCTGGCACCCACCTCCTGCTCACGGCTCGGCTCTCTGCTTTCCGCTCCTTCACCAGCCACAGCAAAGCTCAGTGCACAGCCACAAACAGCCTTCCTGGGCCCTGGGCACTGAGGGAGGTGCGGGGCCAGCTGTGTGGACCTCACGTCCACGCTTGCAGGAAGTGTGGGCGCCCGCGTGTCCTTGGAGCAGTGGTGCACTCTCCACCACTTTGTGTGAAATATTGGCTGAATGGGTCTGAGCAGAGACCGGAGTCCAGGGCTGCGTGAGTGACAAATCGAAGCAGGAGTCAAGGACAAGGCCGTGGGAGAATTAGACTTCCTCGGTGTCTGTCAAGACGGGGGGCACTGACAAACCTGAACTCCAGCGCACGGGACACCAGAGCTGCGTGAGTCTACACCGTGAGTACCAGCCCGGCTGTGGGGCCTGGCTCTAGTGATTTCTGTTTTGTTTTATTTTGTTTTGTTTTTTGTTTTGTTTTGTTTTTTGTTTTGTTTTTGACAGGCAGAGTGGACAGTGAGAGAGAGACAGAGAGAAAGGTCTTCCTTTGCCGTTGGTTCACCCTCCAATGGCTGCTGTGGCTGGTGCACCCCACTGATCCGAAGCCAGGAGCCAGGTACTTCTCCTGGTCTCCCATGGGGTGCAGGGCCCAAGCACTTGGGCCATCCTCCACTGCACTCCCTGGCCACAGCAGAGAGCTGGCCTGGAAGAGAAGCAACTGGGACAGAATCCGGCGCCCCGACCGGGACTAGAACCCGGTGTGCCGGCGCCGCAAGGCGGAGGATTAGCCTAGTGAGCTGTGGCGCCGGCCTTCTAGTGATTTCTTACAGTAGTTCAGGTTAGAATTCTCAGCAGAGGCGATTGCGACAGCTCTGGGTCACGGTACCCATGTGGAAGGCAGGATCTGGAGCCCCCACTGCAGTGCTGGGGTCCGGCGCCCGGTGAGGAGGGGGCTGGAGTGTCGCGAGCAAGCGGCGGGAAGACACTCTGCAACGGGAAGTGATTAAAGAGCCAGTGGCGTCTTTTCATGATGAAGGATTATGCAGAGTGGAAACGTGACAAAGAGTGTGGAAGCCACTGCGTCTCCTTAGCTTCCGTGACAGCTCTGTGTTACATGTCCTTGCACTTCCTCGTCTGTCTTTGCCGAGTCGACAGGATCTGGATATCTCTAAGTGCCACAGTGATAGAGAGACCAGCAGTCTATCCATTGCCGGCTAGTGGGTCACTCATATTTTAGATCCACTGCAATCAGAGGCTACAAAATCTAATCAAGGGCTGCACTGTTGCATGCCTGTGAGGCCATTCCTTTGAAATATTGTTTTCTTTTTTTCTCTTTTATCACAAGAAAAGGCCACTACTTACATCGGACTTTAAACCTCTACTATTGAAACATTCAAGAGAATTTAGAGGAACCTCATCCTATTGGGATCCCAGGACTGGAAATCTCAATATTAAACCTGAGAACGTTTTCCACATGGCAAAGAACAAAGTTTACTTCCTCTTCTTCCTCAGATTGGAGATGGCTGGTGGATAGCATGCATAGCGCCATGTAAGAAGAGAAATATTTCTGTTATAATTATTACCTTTTTGCAACAATTTTCTTCTGCATTGTTGCTGAAGCCAGCACATCAAAGAGCGGGCCTAGATTCCATGTGTGGACCTAAAGAATGATGGGCGTGCCCAACACGCTGGGTCCTGCTCATTTTTGGTGCAGATTTTCCCCATTCAGGACCTACTGATTTCTTATGATACAGGACATCTAAATGGGGGTTTGTAGTTAAATACTTGGGGTATATCCTACATATTGTATCTTATCTTTTGGCAAGCTAAAGACTAGTGAGCCCATGGTAATTGTTCTAACTAGCCTACCATCAAGCAGCAGCCCGAGGTCATCACCATATGTCTTTACCTGCTGGAACCTGACGTAGTACATAGACTACTGAACTGCATGTGACAGAAGACAAGATACAGAGATGTTTTCAGAAAATGATACACGTGTTCTTGTGTGGAACGAAGCTGTCGTGTGTGCATATGGAAAAATATCATCGAAACAACTCCATCGCCTTACACACACCCTAAAATGGCTTTTCAAACACCCTCAGTGGGTGGTTCATAAAATCTGAATTTCTAGGCATGACATTGCTTGGTGCATGAGTGGGCACTCTTCCAAATCGGTGACTTTTTGCTGCTGTGAGCCCCTCGGATGGAGAGACCGTGTGGGTGCATGGTAGCAGGTGTGCCCTTCCTCAGGCCCTGTCAGGGACCTCAGTGAGCGCCAGGGAAGAGTGGGCAACACCTGGCATACCACACTAGCTTCTAGATTCTTCTACATTCACAGCTCTCTAAAGCTGCGGAAGCAGGAAGAGGGTGTAGGAAGAGATAAGACTCCTACAGATATTTTATGTTTCTTGATTTCATGAATAGTGATCATGATATGGGCTGAGTTGCAGCTCCCAGAAAGGTATGTTGGGGTCCTAGCCCTTCCTACCTATGAATGGGAGCTCCCATTTAAGTGGGGTCTTTGTAGGATGGGCCTTGGGCCAACATGACTGATGGTCTTAGAGATGGGGTCACCCCATGTGAAGAAGAGACGGCAGGAGGAGGCCACAGGCTGGCAGAGGCAGAGGCTGGAGTGACGCAGCTGCCAGCCCAGGAATGCACAGACCTCTGTTAGAAGCCAGAAACAGAAGGAGCGAGGCCTTGAGTTGGCCGGATTCGAACCCCTGGCCTGCAGCTCTGTGAGACAGGCGGCTGCTGCTGCTGAAGCCTGCCTGTCTGGGACTTGGTGACGCTGCCTGGGAAACACCTCGGGCCTGCTGGCTCCCTCCGTGTTGCAGGCCTGGTGCTGGGCCGGCTTCGCACCCTGTTGCACAGTCACTCTGCCGCCACTGCTACGACTGTAGTCTGCCATTTTACAGACCACGGGGAGTTCCATCGTCCCGGCACGCGGCATTAGTGTCACCTGCGAAACTGCAGAAGTCCAGTGCTGGGCCCCTCCCCAGACCTAGCAACTCAGAAGCCCTAGGGGATGTCAGTGGGAAGCCATACGAGTTCAGGAAACTCCCCGGGATGGGATCGGATCCAGCTCCCTGAGCCTGAGCTCTGTGGACCCAGGCTGGCCTGAGACAGACAGAGCTGGGGCTGGGTTCAAAGGCCCATGCTGACACTGGATCAACCGTGTGTGCACACAACCACACACACACGGGCACTCACATGGACGAGCAAACACACACACACACTCCAGGCACCCCCTGCACACGCAGGCATCACATCTGGCCCCTCACTTCTGTTGGGGGGAGAGCAAGAGGAAGAGACAACGTGGGGCCCGTGGGTCCTCTCAGCCAAACCACGGGCGGGCGGGCCATCTGCACGTAGCTGAGGTTCTGCTGTCCCCCAGGGCCTGCTGGCCTGGAGGATTTGTCCCGACAACTACCCGGACCCCCTTAATATGTGCCAGGGCTGAATGCTAAATAGCCCAGACCAAGTCCCGCCTCCTGGGAAGAAAACTGAATAGGTTCACTTAAAATCCTGCATTTGCCTTCTTGTTTTCCCCATCTTCAAGGATTTGTGTTAATTAAGACAGGGACTTGACCCTGCCAAATGCAAGCTCTCTTGCAGAATATTTTTACCTTCGTCATTGTCCTGATTCCAATCTGGGAATCATAGCGCGTTTTCTTTCTTTTTTTTAATTTATTTATTTATTTGAAAGAGTTACACAGAGAGAGAGAGAGACAGAGAAAGAGAGAGAGAGAATCTTCCATCCAGTGGTTCACTCCCCAATTGGCCACATGGCCAGAGCTGTGCTGATCTGAAGGCAGGAGCCAGGAGCTTCATCCAGGTCTCCCATGTGGGTGCAGGGGCCCAAGGACTTGGGTCATCTTCTACTGCTTTCCCAGGCCACACAGCAGAGAGCCAGATTGGAAAGTGGAGCAGCCGGGACTTGAACTGGCACCCACATGGGATGCCGGCACTGCAGGTGACTGCTTTACCTGCTAAGCCACAGTGTCGACCCCCATAATGCATTTTCGACACAGACAGACCTCATTCACTAAGGTAGAACAGCCATTCCCTGTTGATGACCTGGAATAAAAGAGCAAAGTAGAGCACAGTTCATGTTTTTACATTTTTTTCTGTAGTGAGCCTTAGCCAACCGTCTCTGGCTAATACAGTACCTGTATGGAATTCGATATCTGTAACACTGTTGATATAAGAATCACATCAGAAAAGCCCGTTCACCTTGTGTGGGAAGAGCTGAGGGAACCACCTAGGGAAGTTTCCTACCCGAGGCTTTGGGAGCTGCCCGGGATCCCGTGTGTGAGATCACTGGTTCACTCCCCAGAGGGCTGCAACAGCTGGAGCTGTGCCGATCAGAAGCCAGGAGCCAGGAGCTTCTTCCGGGTCTCCCATGTAGGTGCAAGGGCCCAAGGACTTGGGCCATCTTCTACTGCTTTCCCAGGCCACAGCAGAGAGCTGGATCAGAAGTGGAGCAGCCAGGACTGGAACCAGCGCCCACATGGGATGCCGGCGCTGCAGGTGGTGGCTTTACCCATTATGCCACAGCACTGGCCCCAAGATGAAGTCTTGTAGCGGCTTTGGCAACCTCTACGCAGGGCCAAGCCCAGCTGCCCCTGCCTCCCTCCGCGCTCTGGACTGGGTCTGCCCTGAGCTCCTGTGCCTTCCAGTCACGGGTCCCTGGCAGCGCAGAGAATAACCACCCTTTAAAGAGCCGCTGATTTTCGTATCATTAATTTCCTGCTCCGAGAACTTCAGTGCCTTGTAATTACCCAGCTGTAGGAACACATAAGACGGCACTAAATTTTGCTTAAGTACAGCCCATTGCCAGAACGGAAGCCCAAATATGTAATTAGACTGGCATTAACATCCGCGAGCCGTGCAATTTCCCAGCGGCACCGGGGCTGGGGCATTGGTGAAGGGCAGGCTGTCTGGCCAGCGGTGCCCACCAACGCCAGCCTCGGAGGCCGTGGAGACGGTCGGATTCCGCTCCTCAGTGGCTGCCAAGAGACAGGCGTCCCCTTTGTACGTGCGCACCAGCTCTGAGCCCATAGATGGATGCAAAGAATAACGAGATTACAGCATTCTAGGCTGGACCCCACGCAGGAAGTCCATCTTGTCCAATTATATTAATCACCATCGCGCTGTTCCCAGCAAACCTTGCTAACAGGGCAAGGGTCACGATTTTCCATAATGCATTCCAAAGGAACTCTTTAGGCAAGGAAAGGAAGCCGGTTCCTTTGATCTGTCCCTGCGTGTCCTGCTGATGAGGAGGCACAAGGACTTCGTGACAAGTGTGCTGTCTCATCATCGGTCATCATGTTTAGAAATCCACAGTGTAGCCACGTGAAGGCCTTGGGCGAGAAGATAATAAACACTTTCTGCTCCGAAGTTGCTCCAGGCACCCGACGTGGTCTTCAGAAACAAGATGATGTTGTCAGTGTCGTGGGCTGCTGATCACCTGAGCTCTTTGACCTGGAAGAGGCGGGCGTCCGCCACGGGGGCTGGGGAGGAAAAATGACCCTGATTACTGTGAATGAGATTCCTCGTCATCCAGCCCCCCGCCACGACTTTTCCATGTCGCCTGTCAGGTTTCCTACCAGCGAGGCACCGAGGGGAACCCGTGCTCTGGGAAGCCGTGGTGCTGCATTCTTATGAGCCGGCAGGATCGCCTGTTTCTCACGGCGCTCGCCACGCGCGGGAATGTGGGTTCAATCATCTCCCCAAATCAGTCTTTCCACCCAACGCTGAAAACTGGGGTTTTGGTGTGGGCTGTTTTAAAGGTCATAGATTAGCAACAACTGAGAGAAATTCCCCACCGGTGCCTTCTTTCTCAGTCTGTTCTGTTCCTGTTTAGAATGCGCGGGAGCGACCAGCCTTGTTTCCAAGCCTTCTGTGAACACCGATTCCAGCGCTGGGTTGAGGGCTGCCCGACACCGTCCCTCACCGTCCGCAGCGGCCCTGTGGGGTGGAACAGGGTGCGAGCCCTGCCTGTGGTCTGCAACTTTCTAGTAGCTGCATGTTTAAAACTAAAAGGAAATAATACGGGAATTTCATTCCAAGAATGTGCTATTTCAGTGAGTATGTCCAAATTATTTTATGTCAACATGGAATAAATGTGTGCTTTTAGTAGCCTGCGCTCACAGCACGCCCCAACCCAGGTTGCATGAACTAAGCAGAGGGAGGAGGGAGTGTCCACCTGGACAGCGCTGGCCCCGAGGGCACCGCCCTCTGATTCTCACTTGAGAAGCTGGGAGACAGTGCTGAAAAATCCCCCAGCTGAAATCCCTTACGTGAAATGTTCCCTCTCTGGGAGAGGTTAAATATCTCACTGCTTCTAAGCTGCATTTCTAAGTTTGACTGCTCTGTCAAGATAAACTTCCTTAAAAAGGAAGACTTACCTAAAGGCATTGGGGTGATTGTCACCAGCAAAAAATGGCTTCAGCAGGACCTCCTACATCTCACCATAAATGATTTGTCTTATTTTATTTATTTATTTATTTATTTATTGACAGGCAGAGTGGACAGAGAGAGAGAGAGAAAGGTCTTCCTTTGCTGTTGGTTCACCCTACAATGGCCGCCGCGGCTGGCGTGCTGCGGCGGGCACACCACACTGATCCGATGGCAGGAGCCAGGTGCTTCTCCTGGTCTCCCATGGGGTGCAGGGCCCAAGTACTCGGGCCATCCTCCACTGCACTCCCTGGCCACAGCAGAGAGCTGGCCTGGAAGAGGGTTAACCAGGACAGAATCCAGCGCCCCGACGGGGACTAGAACCTGGTGAGCCAGCGCCGCAGGCGGAGGATTAGCCTAGTGAGCCCCGGCGCCGGCGATTTGTCTTATTTAACGGTGCATTTACTCCTTTGAAAGCCAGAGTTTCAGGGAGAGAAGGAGAGACAGAGATCTCCATCCATCATGGGCATAACGGCCGGGGCTGGGCCAGGCTGAAGCCAGGAGCCAGGAGCCAGGAGCCCTCCACTCGCGCCATCTTCCACAGCGTCCCGGGTGCATCAGCAGGGAGCTGAATCAGAAGCAGAGCAGCCGGGACGCCAACCAGTGCTGCTCTCTGGGAAACCAGCATTGCAGGCGCTGCTTAACCCACCACGTCACAACACTGTAAGAAATCTAAATTTTCCACAGGTAGACAGAAATGCCAACCATTTATTTCTATCACATATGGATATTAAACAACTTAAAATAGTAAAATGAACTCTTATCAACAGTACTTTCAATAGACCAAACATCTGTAAATGCGTCCATTTTTGCTCATATGCAATACAACCAAATTTTGAAAAATGCAGGTTTTTTACCTAATTAAATTTCCATCAAGACCCAATGCAACACTTTAGTATTACTGAGTAGTTGGCCCAGATACGTCCCCGTTTGTGGTTTATCTGGCAATCTGACTACATCTAGCTCTTGATGGCAACCGCCAGCCATTTACAGGACAAAGGAAGTATTCTCAATCCGTATAGGAACTGTGGCTGTCTCATCCAGGATGCTGTGTGCCTGGCTCTGCAGGGGCCCAGAGCGTGCTGTGTGTGAAGAGAGAGGTGACCCTTACCTGAGGGCGTGGGGAGGATCAGGAGCAGCAGAGCCTGGCAGATGCACACACCAGGGCTGGGGAGTTCCAGTGAAAGCAACAGTTTTGTTGTGCTAGGGCCATTGCAAGCACTGTTTTGGGGGAAACTCAATTGGATGATGACTAAGACTTGGTCAGCTAAAGAGAAAGAAGAGCATTGTAGGAAAAAGGAACATTTAGAACGACTGCTGGAAAATCAGGTAAGGGGAAGTCGGGGTGGACTGGCACCTAATTCTAACAAAAAGATGAGTGGCGTGAAACAGGTGGGCGCAGCTACAGCCTGGCGGGATGCTGCCAGTTGCTTCAGGGGGATACAGCCGTGTTCCAGATACAGTCGATGCCCCCAGGATCACCTGGCAGCGAAAAGGTAATCAAGAGGGAGGGTGAGCTACAAAATCTGAAAATCTCTTCTTTTTGTTATTTTTTTAAACAGATCCCGTGACGTGGTGCTCAGCTGTGCCAGTCTACATTCCGCCAACAGCGTGTTAAGGCGCCTTTTCCCCACATCCTCGTCTGCATTCGCTATTGTTTGATTTTTGGATGAGAGCCATTCTAGCTGGGGTGAGGTGACATCTCACTGTGGTTTCGACTTGCACTTCCCCGCCAGCTAGTGATCCTGAGCATCTTTTCATGTGTCTGTTGGCCGTCTGTAGTCCCTCCTTTGAGAAATGCCTGTTCATATCCTTAGCCCATTTCTTAAAGGGGTGGTTTGTTTGTTGTTGTGGAGATTCTTGAGTTCGTTGTGTGTCCTGGATGTTAGTCCTTTAGGAGATGTGTAACTCGCGAGTGTTTTCTCCCATTCTGTCAGTTGCCTCTTTATTTTGTTGAGTGTTTCCTTCGCGGTGCAGAAGCTTCCCGCTGGGTTGCACATGACAGTGTAACAGTGTGTTCAAACTTCTCAAGCCAAACATTCCACCTAAACCTTTCCTTACACATAGCAGACTTTCTTCCAATGGAAGTAAACATGTTAAAGTTTTCATGGGAGAATTAGTAAAAATTCTGGCTGCTCTAATTGGCATTTTTTCCTCCCTCATGCATTCTGGTTTCTGGTTGGTGTCTTACCTGCTTGCTCTTCTAAGGTGCCCAACACAGCTCCAGCAGGGACTTCCAAGCCAGGCTGGAGGGGGGAATTCTACCCCAGCACGTTCCAGTAGACGGACACTCAGAAACTAAGCCAACTCCAAGAAACATTAAAAGATAACCAATCTGCTGCATTTTCACACATTTCCAAGAATGATTTATTACACGCACTGTTCTCTAAGGTTCTAAGCCTAACAGAAAACATGTGAAAGTTTTTATACGAGTGGCCTTGTCGACTTCTCATACTTGTGTGTTCATTGCTGATGCGTGGGCTGAATCGCAGCATGAGGCATCCCATCATGCTCTTGGCTGGTTGTAACTGGCATTTCTGTTTCTTGATTATGGTTTCAGAAGAGACCTCAGTATGTTAAGCAAACTTCTGCACGACATATTAGGAATACCCATCTGGCAGACGAGAGCAGATCTGGTGGGGGAAACCTGGCACACAGCATGTTGAGCTAATGAGATGGAGAAGTGCAAGGCTGCAGAGTGAGATGGCGGCAAAGAGAAGGAGCTGGTGCCAACAAATGGAGATTGGTGCTGCCGTTGTGGTGCAGCAGGTTAAGCCACCACCTGTGACGCCGGCATCCCCTGGGAGCCCCGACTCGCGTCCTGGCTGCTCTATTTCTGATCCAGCTCCCTGCTGGTGGCCTGGGAAAAGCACCGGAAGATGGCCCAAGTCCTTGGCCCTCTGCCACCCACCTGGGAGACCCAGATGAAGCTCCTGGCTCCTGGCTTCACCTTAGCCCAGGCCTGGCCATTGTGGCCATTCAGGGAGTAGAGGGATGGAATCTCTCTCATGCTTTCCCTCTCTCTGCAACTCTGCCTTTCAAAGAAATAAACAAATCTTAAAGACAAGTAAATAAATGAAGATGGAGTCAGCAGATCTTGGTAGCTGTAGTGGATAGGCAGAGGTAGGAAAGACAAAGGTGGCTTGACAAGTCCCCTTCTGGGAGGGGAGTCTAGACAGGAGCAGGTGTGGGGAGTGCCAGAGAGGGAGAAAGGGACGCAGGGAATCATGCCCACAGGCACAGGCTCTGCAGAGAGGACTTTGCCCAGCAGAAGTAAGTACCTTTTTTTTTTTTTGACAGGCAGAGTGGACAGTGAGAGACAGACAGAGAGACAGAGAGAAAGGTCTTCCTTTTGCTGTTGGTTCACCCTCCAATGGCCGCTGCGGCTGGCGCACCGCGCTGATCCGAAGCCAGGAGCCAGGTGCTTCTCCTGGTCTCCCATGGGGTGCAGGGCCCAAGCACTTGGGCCATCCTCCACTGCACTCCTGGGCCACAGCAGAGAGCTGGCCTGGAAGAGGGGCAACCGGGACAGAATCCGGTGCCCTGACCGGGACTAGAACCCGGTGTGCCAGCGCCTCAAGGTGGAGGATTAGCCTAGTGAGCCGTGTTGCCGACTGGTAAGTACCTTTTTAAACATCCTCCGTCTTAGCCTGCCGTGGAACTTGCTGGGAAAGACAATCGGGTAGAGGGATAATAAACCTGCGCCTCTCGAGGGAGCGCTCTGAGGGGTTCAGATTCTGAAACTGTGGGTGACAAGGACAGGGAGGGCAGCGCCGCAGTCGGCTGTGGATGCGGGAGGCCCTCGCTAACGCAGCCGCGTGGGACGGCATCACAAGGAGGGGGCTGCTCTTGGCTCTGCGCGCAGGGGCGTCGGCCCGGCCCAAGGCGGGTCCAGCGTGTCCTGTGAGCACCTGCAGGGGCCCGTCAGGCTGTGCCTTCATCTCCCACACTTAGCAGCTGCTGGTGGAGTCAGGATCCGCCGCAGGACCCGCAGCCCCGGCGAGCTTTCCAGAAGGCTTAGGGCAAGAAGCTCCTGGGCACCGCCCGGGCCCACAGTTCTGGCTCAACAGGAGCAGAAGCCGCAGGCGTTTTCCAGCCGTCTCCCTGGACGAGAGCAGGGGACAGACCTGGGCCCCGGGGTGTGCACTGCCCCACCTGCCCAGGCAGCTGCTCCTGGACTGGGAAGGAGGCTCCAGGTCCAGCAGTCAGCTTCTCCCAAGGGGCAGAGAACTCAGATGCGTGACTGCAAACCCATTCCAGCTGTCTTTGCAGAAGACCAGAGTATGGATAGGCACAGATACGAGCTGCCGGGCTGTCGATGAACGCGCCCTGGAGGCCAGAAATCGCAGGCTTCCCCGAGGACGAGTCGGACCTCGTTTGCTTTCTGGCACGGTGACTGGCCCCGCAGCTCCCAGGATGGGGGTGCCGTGTGTCTGGGTCCCGTCAAAGCCCGTGGCAGAGCCCTCGTAACGCTTGTACGGAAACACAGAAGAGTGACATGAGCTGATTGGCAGAAAAATTGGATGAAACGGAAAGCAGTGAGGAACTGCTTCAAAAAGTGGTGATTAATGTACCGATA